ATGTTTATTATGTGTTGTCTCCTTATTATTGGTTGTTTACCAACAGTGACCTATGGTAATTTTTATTAATAATTATATAAAATTTTACTTTTATTTTACTTAGGTGGAAATTATATTGTGCAGTTTCTGGATAAATTTTCAACAGCTCCAGCATTGATGCTTGTTGTTATGATGGAAGCAATTGCTGCGACTTGGGTAAATGAAGTTTTTTTTTGTGTTTGAAAAATGTTGCTTTTATTGATCATTTTATTAATTAAGGTTTACGGTATTGATAATCTTGTTCATGATATTCAAACACATCTTGGTTTTGCACCAAATTATTTTTTTCGTGTTGCATGGAAAATTCTCTGTCCACTTATTGTCATGTCACTGATGGTACTTTCATTAACTTATTCGGACGAATTAAAATATGGTGAATATTTATATCCATCATGGTCTATTATATTTGGCTGGTGCCTTAATATGGCTTTTATTTTACCAATACCAATCGTTATGATGTATGAATTCATACAACATTCTGATCCAAAAAAATCCTTCAAAGAACGTATTTATCTTTTATTTGTTCCAACTATTACGAAACGAAAATTGAAACAAGAGGCTGAAAATAGAAGTGAAATTGTTATACCGTCGTTGTCACCTATTTATGATGTTTAAATGTTGTTTGTTCGTATTTATATGTTAGACTATATCTTTGAAATAAATATATACATAGTGATGATAGTTTTATTTTTCTTTATTCTTTTATACAATGAAAAGAAAAGAAAAGAAATATTTATATTTGTATTAATCAATAGATGGTGATAAATAAAGTGTAGGCAATTTTCGCTGTAAATCAGAACTTGATGGACGCATAGATGTTGATACTGCACGAGTAGAATAGCGGCTGTGTTGTAGTTTATCTTCGGCTGATGGTCCTTGAGATACAGGTGCTCGGCAGTAAAGAAAATTAATAACTGCATTTTTAAAATCACTTGATGTTAACCAATATATTATGAATGATGAAACATGACTTGTTGTGGCTAAATTGCTCAATCCCATTGTAATTAAATGTCGATGACGTTTTATTATTTTTCCAAGTGATATATAGAATATAGCAGATGGTGAAGTAAATATAATAAAAAATATTGTTATAAATATTAATGTTTTAGTTAAACGACCATCACTAGTTGCTAATGAACGTCGATTTGAAGAAAGTGTTGATGGCGATTTTACTATAGAAGCTGAACGCATTTTTGATCGTTGTGTTCGTCGTCGTGATTCACGAACATGACGAATTATTGCTAGATTACATAGAATCATTAATGCAAATGGAATAAAATTGTACAATAATAAATGAGCTATTTCCCAATATTTAAAAAATACAGATCGATAACACATAATTTGTTTTTGTGTTTTATTATTTTTATCAATAGAAAAAGCCTCTTTTCCATTGACAATCCATATTGGAAAATTCATAATACCTATAAGAATAATAGTCATCCAACAAAGACGATGAATGGCACGAGGATTTAATATATATTTTCTTATAGTCCATTCATTATGTACTGAAACGCAACGTGCAAAAGTAGCTAATGTTTTGAGCCATGCAGCACATTGAAGTAAGAAATATGCACTAAACGATACTAATTTACAGACAAATAATGAATGCTCCTCAAGATTTTTGATTGAGCTATTTGTCTGACGTTTCCATACAAGTTCACGTATAGTATAATTAAGATTCCATGTAAATGGTATAAGAAGTTCAATAAGAGCTAAATATGAAAAAACAATTATTGTCGCATTTGAACGATTTGGTATCACTCGTTTAAATATATAGAAACAAAGTAGATTCAATGGTGTACCACTAAGAATAAGAAGTAACGAATAAAGACCAAAAATAAAATATCCCAGATCAGCTAATGTTGCTATCATGTTTATATAATCTAAAAATAAAACATATTAAATCATATATTGTGTTGTATATGGTACAATAATAAAATCATTCATATATAATTAGAAAATATTCGAATAGCGTAAATATTTGAGATATTGTTAAACGTCTCTTATCTTTATACGGAAGTCAACAGCAAATATTTCTCATTCCAGAAAAAACAAACCATTGTAAACATAAGGCACGCGCTATCAGTCTCTTACAAGCACTATATATACAGAGTTTTTTTGTTCGTTACTGTTTCCTCAAGTGTATTGTAATTAGATTTATCTATTTTATTGTTATCAATGGAATGCATGTATTAAATACAAAGAAAACTTAGAAAATAGTTTTTACAACCATACTGATGAGTATTGATGATTGTTTCTAATACAATCGACATATGAACAAAGAAAAAAGATTTATGAAACTACGCTAAAAAGAATACGTTATTTATATAAATAAAGAATCAAAATATTAAATTAATACTACTACCATATATCGTTAATAATTGAGGATAGTTTTTATTAAAATGGCTGTCGATAATCTTTTGAACAGGTGTTAGTCGTTGATGTTTTCTTCTTTTGA